TGGTAGCAAGAAAAGCAGAAAGCAAAAATTATTAACTACCAACGCGAGTTCTGATTGGCTTCTGCTTTCCTGATTTCCGCTTTTCTGTCAAGGTGTGAATTCGCCCTTATGCGTTATGCAGTATTAAAAGTCTGTGCTCCCGACTTTACAGTCAAAAGGCCGGCATGTCCGCTCTCGGATCCTCTCTAGTCTCTGCTAATACAAATCGTCCTTGTGACAATCTGACTACACATGTGTGCCGAGGCCGTCTATTGGCCGCTCGACTCGCCGGCTTGAACATAGGCTGTTCGGAACAGCGGAGCGCGGAGGGGAAGCGACTGGCAGTCAGATAAAAAGGGGGAGGAGGTACGATTTCGCGCGTTCATCGCGATTCTGAATTATTTTTGACAGATTCAGCGGCACAGTATCGGTGTCGCCGGTCGGATAATCGAATTAGGCGAAAGGTGTGCGCTGTCCACGAGAGGCCGATGATGTCCGCGATGGGTAAGGTGAGTACTTGCGTGCAATTTAACCTTCTCTTGACGCAGGTAGGCAGGTAGACAAGTGCCGGAAAAGAGAAAGAAAAAAAAGATAATCTGGAATTGTGCTCGCTTTAGTGCTAGTGGTTATGCATTATTTCGTTTCAATGTGTTAAAATAACGTTGACGCGCCGACGAATCTTGGATTGGTGTATAATCACCATCGAAATCCCGGAAGCCGCGATCGTGCGAAAATGAACCCTACGTTTACTCCCAACCTAAATGATTATCGCGAGATGGGTAAGTACGGGAAATCAAATACCACGTCTCTTGCGGCCGGTCTTGATTCCTGCTCGAGGAAATTCACGTTGACGAAACTTTCTGGCCTGCGAATATATTTGATAACGAGAATGTACGCCGATAGTGTATAACGTGCATGTATGTGTGCGCGCGCGCGTAGAACTATTCCGCTTGACTTCAGCCTTCGAATAAATGAATAGGACTGCATGCAAAAGTTAAAACATGTTTATGTACTGTTTGCAGAGTTATAGATCTAATACTTTTTCTTTTTATCACGCAACTATGACATGAACCTCCTGTATCTCCTTTTCAGTTTTTACTATTTATAAAAATTGCACAAATAAATTTAGAGAATTTATTTATGAGAATTGCGTAATTTTATAAAAAGCTCCGAAAGTGTTTTCCAGAATTTCTTGAGTATTAACATTTTTGACACATTGCGTATTTATTTGCATATATATTAAGATTTACTTTTTCAAAAACTTTTTTTTAGAACTTATGCAACAACCAAGTTTTGCAAATCGCCGATTTATACTTTGGATGCTTATCTAAAATAGTAGATAGAATATCTATCAAATGATTTGACTGTCATTAGCATCAATGATTGTAACAAGCATGTTTAATGAATTCGCGTTTCGACTCTTGCAACTCGTTCCTGTTTACATCTACCGGTGGCCATAAATTTTTTTTCTAGCGCGTGAACTGGTTTTACAACCGGCTTCAGTTATGTTAAATTTTTGAAGTTGACTTGCATAATTGAGCTTCACATATTCATGTATTTGTCTTCTTTTTACAGCCGGTGCTTTACTCCTACTGGCGGAGTTCTTGTTCCTGGAGGGTAAGAATTGGTGAGTGAGAGTTTGCGTGTGATTTTATATAAACCGAGTTATACAAATTTGGAAAATCGTCAAAATAAGAAAAAATTAGGGAATTAAAAAATAGTCAATAAAAATGAAAATTTAATCAAGACAGGAAAATTATTAACAAGAAAAAGCTATTATACAAAGTAAGTGTCATTGACTTTGAGTGTGATTTTTATGGTGTGCAGATGATTTTTGTCCTAATATATCGGTAAATAAAATATCTGTAAATATGCAGCAATTATCTACTGACTGGCTCGGGTTTAAGTTAGGTAAGATTTAAGTTTCGGTTGTGCCACTTTTCTTTGCAATTTTTTTTACAATATTTGCAATAATTGTAAGTAACTGTTATACTGGACTTTAAAATTTAATTTTTTTACAAAGCTTATAAGCGCATAAAACTTTTTATTTCTTCAAAAACCTCACTGCATATCTGTGGATAATATCTTACCGGTGTAACTTATTGTTAAGGAAGAATCACCTGCAAAAAAGTTCTATTTAAATCAGTGATTTACTATACTTTGTGACTTGTTAAAATGTTAAATTTTTGTGTTATTCTAAATTACCAATTCAATTACTTTTTTAGAAGTACTTAAATATTTAAATTATTAAACAAAATTTATTTAATTGTTTAAAGAAGCACTAAATATTTAATAAGATTTTTTACAATCTTGTGAGTAGTTTACAAAAAGATATTAACGGTATATTATAGTTAAAAAAAAATTAAATAGAATTGCAAGATTAAAGCTTTTGTTTTCAAAAATTTATAAAAAATTTAAAACAATTTGAAATTATATTTTATTTTAATTTTTTATTTATTTTTTGTATTTTCTTGAAATAAATATAAAATTTAATATTTTTTTCTTTGTTTTTATACGGTGTTTCAGTAAAAGAATGTCTAAAAAGTGATAAAAAAAAATCATAAATTTTTTTTCTGTTTTGAAACCCAAAAACTATTTTATATATGTTAAGTGCATTGATATCAAATATCTGTAGTCTATAGAAAAAATATATTATAAAAAAGCTATATTTTTAAATAATTTATTATTGCCGCAAAAATAAAATATTTAACAAACAATTCTTAACGAAAATATCTATACAACTTGTAATTATTATTTTATAAATAAAAAGTTTTATTTATGTTGCTGTATAGACAATTTATTTTTTAACTTTCAAATGGTACACTTCTTTCAAGCACCCACTAATGGAACAATGGTACAAATTTGGATTTGATATCTTAAATTGTACATCTGTTCTGAGGAAAAAACAGAAATGTTTTGAACATTAGTTACAATTTAACGTAGTGGGAATAAGCCACGACAAATGTCTCTGTGCAAATGCCAGCAATTGTTCAGGGTGCGAATTCGCACTCTTGTACCATTTAAAGGTTAAATGTGTTTTTAATATTTACGAACTTAATGTTTTTGGTGTTTGTCAATAGCATTGAATCTAAAGGAAATACCATATGATATAAAGCCTGTTAGTCTGGTGAAGAGTGGTGGAGAACAACATTCCAATGAATTCCGTGAAATTAATCCAATGGAGCAAGTCCCTGCGCTCCATATTGACAATCATACCTTGATAGAGTCTGTGAGTAAATTGCATCATAAGTATTCTTGTAGTTGTGACTTTAGAATTTATATAGAATAACAAGCAAGTTTTTTAAATGTAGCTGAATATCTTACAATACTTGGAGGAGACGAGGCCGAATCGTCCATTGATGCCAGCGGATCCTGTCAAGAGAGCTAGAGTGAGAGAGATTTGCGAAGTAATTGCCAGTGGCATACAACCATTGCAAAATCTCGTTGTTCTAATCTATGTCGGAGAGGAACGTAAGAAGGAATGGGCGCAGCATTGGATCACGAGAGGATTCACAGGTATTATGATGATAATAAAAAATTGTACTCAGGTAGCAAACTGATTTATTTGTCGTTATTCTAACGTTATTCTGATTCAAAATGTCACAAAAAATGTTATTTGGCAAATAATGTTAGCTTGTTACATTAATAGTAATTGTCGAATTGTAAACTTGCAATAAAAGGCGAATATAAAATTTTTTTCACGAAAACCTTCATATTTCAAATTTAAATAAATAATAAATTTTTAATAAATAATTATAAATGAAAAAGCGTTATTTTGTAAATAGTTACTTTGTACGTCTAGTGTATCGCCTTTAAATGCTGGTAATATGAAAAACAGGGATATTTGCAATTATAATCATTTATTGAATATCAAGATTGTCGAGAAAAACATTAGATAACATCGCGATCTTCGCGTGTATTAAAAAGGAAACGACATGCCTAGTCATTAATATACAAATAATTGTTTTAATAACAGGTTTATGTGTAATTAACATTGATAATACTATTTTTCAGCCGTGGAGA